TTGGATTTGAGTCAAGGCACACTAATAGGAAACAATTAAACATGATTGAACTTAATTCGTTTTAGGAATGAGAAATACTTCCTAAGATATTGCTTTTGTGATAAAGCTAGTGGAGAAGTCAAGCATTAAGGCTTTAAGGAAAACGGAGGCTAGGAGAACTGAAGGCTAGCCCAGGTTTGATATCCAACAGGTAGGATATTCTTGTCTATATCTTGTTAGCCTCATTTTAAATTATTTTGGCCAATGAAAATGTTTTGGAACAAAACATGTTTAAAGAAAATGATTTTAAAGAAATAACATGAGAATGCTATTAAGTTTTTCCAATGATTTTGGAAATGAGATTTCAAAGCGTATCAATTCTTAAAATGAAATATTTTAAGAAATGATACAATGCATGGTGGCCTTAGAGATCGGGATGTGGGAATCGCATCCTTGGGGGGCAGGTCCCGAAACCCGTACGGATCCGCTTCTTGTTTAGTGGAATGATGGCTCTGCACTTTTCCTAGACAGACATTTTTACCGCTTCTTGTTTAGTGGTATGATGAGCTGCACACTTTCATTATACAGATATTTCTATTGTGAGTATTTCCTTTTCTAAAAAGGGATGATCGGTTCTGGATGTATATCTTCGGACCGTGAGTACCTTTATTTTAAATGCTTTATAAAATCTATATCCTACAGGGCCTTTCGCTCACCTTTTTCTGTTTTTAAATGTATTAAACCCCTCCAGGCGACGCGAGGAGTGGTGCGGAATAGGTAGCTATTACCGGTGTGTGGACTTGATCTCGGGAGCAAAGAGTTGTAACCCTTCTATCTTTTATTTCAAGGCATGTATAAGAAATTATGGTTTGTAAACTTAAATGTTGCTAGATTGTGGTTGATGTCACATTTACTTATGTTTATATTCATGTATGCTAAACCCCTGTGGGAATTCCTGACATGATACCAGTGATGTGGTTTTAAAACTGGTTCGGTTGAAATTCCACCACCGTTCTTGAAATTAAATTTCTCTTGAATGCAGGGGCTCGTTTGGAAATACCTGAATGTTTTAGATTTGAAAGGAATTAAATTATTTTGCTAATCACTCTCTCAAACAGGTTTAAGTTTCTAAACGAGCCTCCACGTCACCAACCCCGGTTTAGGGGCGTGACAAATATCCACCCCACTTAGTAACCAATTACATTCGTGTATGCTTCCTAACAAACATCTGCCTAGTTAGAGGCTTATCATAATTATTTTTTTATTTAATTAAGCTAGTAAATGAGTCGTACTGATACAAGTAGTCAGATAATAGGCGACAAGATTACCTGATGTTGAGAAGATCAACAAGCAACTGCAGAGCTCCTGAATCCCCACATGCCTCCCACACAGCAGCTCGAACTTCTGTATCAGATGGTGGTCGCTCTTCTTCCGATCCAACAAGCTTTAAACAACATTATAAATTCAACAAAACTTAAAAGACTCCGAGGAGACATGAGCAGTTTCAGAGCTACTTCTATTTAGATTTTAAGTTTTGATAAAAAGACAGTAGCTGGAACAAGTACCTCTTCCAGTAGTGCTGAAACCTTAAGAATCTCATCTTCTTTCATGGCTATGGTCCTCAAGGTACTCAGGAAATTTTCCGGGAAAATCAATTTGTTTACATATGATGGTATCTTGCGCTGGCCACTCCAGCTATAGCTGGATACTTGGTCACGTTTGTGTTTATCATCTTGTTCATCTTTCCGGACGCCTTGTGGGAAAAAGCCATGATCCAGCAGACTCCTAGCTAAAAGACACCTCATTTCAGCTTTCTGTAAAACAAACCAGGCTTGTGATTTTATTTTTCGTTGATAGCGGGGCAAGCGAAAGAAGAAAGAAACTTCTGTAGATCCCCCAAAAGTTCGAGAAAGTTTTTGATTTTCTTCTGCATATAACATGAAGTCGAATATCAGAACGCAGAAAACCGCAAGGAGCTAACCTGTGCTTCAAGAAGCTGTGCTTTCGAATCAGAAAAAGGAATATTCTGAATTGCTTCCACCGGATAATGGACCTGCATAGTTGATCATGCTGTTTGTTATTCATTCGTCTCAAGAGACTATCAGCAAAAAAATAATTTTTTAACTTGTTTTTCAAAGAAAATGAGGCTACAGTTAAAGCAAAATAACATAAGAGAAATTCACCACTTCTCTCTTGTCACATGTGAGATATAATCAACTCTAATAGAAGACTAACAATAAGTACATGAACCTTATAGTCTGCACAGGCATTAGTATTACCATGAGATAATCATCTGGATTATTTTCTAGGACAAACCCATATAAATAAAGCAGTTCCTGCATCAAAACACAAGGACATGGTAAACAATCCAGGTATGCGGTTTCTTCATAAATTATTAAAATCCCCAAAAACAGGAGGAGGAAAAAGAGGGGAAAAAAACATGAAGATAGTAGATATCAGAAAACAAGAGCATAGTATAGTGAACGTCAGTAAATCCTTGATGTGCAACAAAGGTTGGTGAATTGTGTATTAAGGAATCACAGAGCTGACTAGGAAGCTTGAGGTCAATGCGAACTCAAACTGAAAATAATTACACCAATGAAATGCTACTTAAAACAGAAAATAAATAAATGCTTAGTCATAGACCGCCCCCCCAAAAAAAAGTCTTTCACAACCCCCCCCCCCCCCCCCCCCCCCCCCCAAAACAAGAAAAAAAGTAAGACTCATAGTACCCAAAGATTAAGGACCACGTAAAAGAGCAAAGGCAACTGTTTTGAAGACCCTACAATTCGTGGGAGGAAGCTAAAGCTTGTAGTCCAAGCTACAGTTGAGATAATGCACAATAAGAAAAATCTTTTCATTGATTAAAAAAAATAATAATAAAGTATACAGGAAAGGTATACACATGAAACAAGAAAAAACAATACAAGAAAAAATGAAGGAAACGAAAACAATACATTTTTTTTTTTTTTTTTTTTTTTGCAAAGAAACGAAAACTTTATTAAATAGGAAAAAATAGGAGTAAAGAGTGAAGAGGAAGAGTTATCCTCAACAGAACCACCTCCAACTATACATGAAGAACAAGATTAAAAATATATCAGTCAAAACGACTAGGACAGAGCTATAGAAAAGGACCCCAGGTCCTAACAAAATCCGAAAACCTTGGATTCCCAAATTCCTTATCTCTATAGACCCACAAGGACACCCAACACTTCATTTTGTCCCAAAGAATATTTTCGCCCTCCCCTTGATCCTCTAAACTTTTATTATTCCTCTCCAACTATAAACCCCAAAAAATAGCTAAGATTGAAACTCTCCATAGAATCAGTCCCCTCTGACTAAACCCAGATGGTGGAGAAAAAACCAACAAGTTAGCACAGTGCTCCGGCATCACCCAAGGAAACCCGAACTCCTTAAGAAGAGAAGACCAAATTCTGCGGGAATAAGTGCAATGAAGAAATAGGTGATCAATTGTCTCCCCATCAGCCCTACATAAATAACACTAGCTTGGGGACAATAAGACAAACGGGCTTCGTCGTTACAGAGACTCATGAGTATTCACTTTATTGAGAGCTATAAGCCAGCAGAATACTTGAACCTTTTTGGGGCAATGCGTTTTCCATATATTTTCAAAGAACGGAAATCACGAAAATGAGGCGTCACAAGTCAGCGAGGAGAATAGTGATTAGACCGAGAACAAGCCACTATGATCTGACACCCACTCCTTTCTATCCTGGATAAAACTGAGAATCCTAACCCTGTCTACAATAGCAATTAGCTCCGACACCTCCCTCAATTCCCTGTCCGTTAAGTTTCTTGAGAAACTAAAATCCCACGAACTAACATTTCCATCCCAGGAATCCAATTCTAGAGAAAAAGTAGCAACCCGCTGATCTTTAAATAATGAGATTCTGTATAGAGCGGGGAATCTTAAACACAAAGGTCCTTCACTCCAATTATCCTCCCAAAATTTTACAAATTCTCTTGATCCGATCTTCCACTTCACCCGTTGTAAGAAAATATCGGCCATCGACTGAACTGATTTCCAAGGAGATCTGACAATAACTCTCAACACTGCCCCTGAAACCCATCTATTCTAGTTCATTCTGTACTTCCCTATAATGACTTTATGCCAAAGAGCTTTTGTTTCCAGCGGAAACCTCCACATCCATTTTGCCAATAAAGCTTCAATTTTCTTCTTTATGTTAGCAATACCCCCAAACCTCCCAGTTCTTTTGGTTCGCATATTTGTTTCCAAGCCACCAAATGAGATGAATTATCCTCAGAGAACCCAAAAAATATCTCTCATAAGCTTCTCAATAACTCCTGCTACTCCAACAGGAATTCTAAACACCGACAAATAGTAAGTAGGCAGAGAAGCAAAAGCGAACTAAATGAGGGTTATCCTACCTCCTTTAGACAAAAAGCTTTCTTCCACCCATCCAATCTCTTCGCAACTCTAGAAACCACCGGTTCCCAAGAGGTAGCCTGCAAGGGATTTCCGCCCAAGGATAGTCCCACACAATCCCACTTTACATCCAACAACACCAGCCAATATGGACAACCTTTCTTCCTCCAAATTTATACCCAAAATGATGCTTTTATCCAAGTTTATTTTCAAACCTGAAATTAAGGAAAAAGTCTCCAAAATAGAGGATAGATTTGACAAACTTTCCTCCTCCGGTGAGCTGAAAAAAAGTGTCATCGGCAAACTGTAAGTGGCTAACCTATATATTTGATCTGCCCACACTACACAGTTTAAAAAGAGAATCTTCAACAGCCCTGTCAACTAGCCTGCGTAAAACATCAACCGGAAGAGTGAAGAGATATGGGGACAAAGGATCACCCTGCCGCAACCCTCTTGAGGCTGAGAATTTCCCCCTTGCCCTACCATTAATCATCATCGAGTAGGAAACCGACCCAATACAACCCAATATCCACCTTCTCCACCTAACTCCAAATCCTTTTCATTCCATAACGAAATCAAGGAACTCCCATTCAATGTGATCATAGGCTTTCTCAAAATCAATATTTACCACCACACTTTCTCTTCTTGATGACCTATAGTCCACCACCTCATTTGCCTCCAAAGCAAGATCTAGAATCTGTCGTTCAACCATAAAAGCCCCTTGAACTTCTGAAATTGCCTCTTCTAATACTACCTTGAGCATATTCAACAGCACCTTCGAAATAATTTTATATAGACTCGAGACCAAACTGATGGGTCTAAAATCTTTGATTCTGCAGGAATTAGCCTTGTTGGGGATAAGGCATACATATGTTTCATTGGTGATCTTGTTAATAATCCCTGGCCTCCAAAATTCTTCAAAAACTTTCAGAACATCACTTTTCATAAAATGCAAACAATCTTGAAAAAAGGAAAGTGTAAATCCGTCTGGTCCAGGAGTCTTGTTTCCATCACAAATGAAAATCGCTCACTTGATTTCTTCCTCTTCAAAGGGCAGGACTCTGCTGCCCCATTAGAAATCGGATTCCAACCTAAACCTTCAACTCCAATAAAGCCGCCACGCGATGATTCGTAGAGCTTCTCATGAAATTCAACAATCTTCTTCGTAATTACCTCCTCATCTTCTAAAATAGCCCCTTCTTCTGTTTCCAACTTTGAAATTGTATTTCTTGTTCTCCTCGCGCTCCTCGCGGTCAATAGTCGTCTGAAGAGTTTTGTATTCACATCCATCATTCACAGCTCTTAAGGTTTTGTTTCCTTCTCTTTTTAGGGGATTAGATGTTGAGAGTTTTCACTGTGATGTGTGTAAATTGGCAAAACACAAGCGTGCAACCTTTCCAATCAGCAATAAAAGTGCAATTCCTTTTCATCTAATTCGCAGTGATGTTTGGGGTCCCTCTACTGTCTCTAATATTTATGGAGCACGTTGGTTTGTCTTTTATCGATGATTGTACTCGAGTCTCTTAGGTTTTGCTAACTAAAAAACAAGTATGATGTGAGTTCCGTCCTGCCAAATTTCCATAATATGGTCCAAATTCGGTGTTCGCATCAAAAGGTTCAGGTCAGACAACGGTAGGGACTATTTTAATCAAGTATTAACTCCATACTTTCTTCAGGAAGGAATAATCAATGAGTCATCTTGTGTAAGCACCCCACAACAAAATGGAGTCACTAAGAGAAAAAATAGCCACCTACTTGATACAACCCGAGCATTCTTGTTTCAAAATAATGTGCCTAAATCTTATTGGGGGGAAGCTGTTTTTACAGCCACACATCTCATAAATCGATTACCTTCTAAAGTCTTGGGTTTCAAAAGTCGCATTGAAATGCTCTCAAAGTTTTAGTCCGGCCCAAGCACCACAAACCATCTCATTCCTAGAATAGTCGGGTGTCTTTTGTTCATGTTCACAGTCAAAACAGGGGAAAGTTAGATCCAAGAGTAGTCAAGTGTGTTTTCGTAGGGTATTCGTGAACTCAAAAAGGAAACAAGTGCAATCATCCACCATCCAAGAAAGTTTTTGTCTCAGCAGATGTTACTTTCAACGAGAGTGAATTTTATTTCACCACTCCTTATCTTCAGGGGCAGAATTTAATCATGGAGATAAGGATCGAGATTTCTTTCTCATTGACCTTCCTTCACCGCCCAAATGTTCGGAACCAATGTCTTCCATTAAACTTGTATCATCTGTTGAACATGTGCCATCTCCTGTATCATTTGTTGAACATGTGTCATCCCCCGTATTATCTGTTGAACCGATGTCATATGTTGAACCCATGTCTTGTGCCCAAATTGAGCTCGTGGTTGCTCTTGAGGATAGGATGGCTGGCAAAGTATACTCAAGGAAGAAATTTGCTGCCCTAAACTTATATAAGTCTAAGAATCTAAACTTACTTCTGGAAATGAGGTAACGGGTTCTAATCCTTATGTGCAAATTGAGTCTAAACTCCACTCTGAGAAAGACATAAATCAGGACCTCCCCGTTGCTATTAGGAAGGGAACCAGGGAATGCACCAAAGTCCTTTGTATCCTCTCTCCCATGTTGTGTCGTTTGTAAAATTTTCACCATCCCATAGGAGTTTTCAAACAAGTTTGAACAATATTCACATACCCACCAATTTATCCGAGGCTTTATCTGATGAAAATTGGAAACAAGCTATGAATGTAGAAATGGAGGCCTTTGAGAAAAACAAAACTTGGGAGTTGGTGACTTTGCCCGCAGGGAAAAAAAACCCTATGGGATGTAAGTGGGTTTACAGGGCAAAATATAAAGCAGATAGGTCACTGGAAAGGTACAAGGCGAGATTGATAGCTAAAGGATATACTCAGACATGTGTGCATTATCAAGAAACGTTTGCCCCAGTTGCCAAGATGAATATTGTCAGGGTTCTGCTCTCCTTGGCAGCTAACTATAGTTGGGATTTAGATTAGTTTGATGTCAAAAATGCATTTCTACACAAATATCTCAAAGAAGCAATAAGTAACTTAGCTGTTAATCAAGTATGCAAGCTCAAAAAAGCCTTATATGGGCTTATGCAGTTTGGGAGATTTGCAAAAGTGATGATAGATATGGGATATAGACAAAGCATGAGACTTTTGGTGTATGTCGATGACATCATCATGATAGCCTTGAAGTGGTGCTTGGCTAAAGAATTTGAGATTAAAGAATTAGGAAGGTTTAAGTACTTCCTAGGATTGAGGTTGCACACTCTAAGCAAGGAATTTTCATCTCCTAGCAGAAGTATGGCACAAACCTTCTCAATGAGACAAGTTGGCATGTAGACCAGCAAGCACACCAATAGATCCTAATCACATGCTCAGAGAGGCTGAGGAAGATGCTGCAGTATATAGATGTATCAACGTCTGGTAGGGAGACTCATTTATCGCTCTCATACGAGACCAAATATAACTTATGATGTAAGTGTGATTGTGGAAAACACAATCTATTGATTTTGTAAATAGGATATATTAGGAAAGTTTGAAATTTATATTTTGTATCCCTAGGATTAAGGTAATTGTGGAAAACGCAATCTATTGATTTTGTAAATAGGATATATTAGGAAAGTTTTAAAATTTATATTTTGTATCCCTAGGATTAAGGTAATCAGTTAGTTTCCTGATATCCCATGAATAATGAGATAAGGTGTAATCTAGGAGATTCTACTTTTCTGTATAAAACCCTAAGAGGGCCGGTTGTATAGAATTAATTCAGAGAATAAGAAATATTTTTTCTTCTCCTATTTTTCCACATGGTATCAGAGCCCTAGGTTTCCTAGGTTACTTTATTTTTTCTTAGGCCTTCATTGTCGTTTCTTTCTTGGCTTTCATTGCCAAGCCTCACCACAGGGCCTTCATTGCCCATATCCATCATCACTCTCTCTAGAAGCCTTCATTACTGTAGTTTTTTTTTTTTTTGAAGTTCCATTGATTCGCTGCCGCAACTTTGACCACTGCCACTCTGTATGGAACTGTACGGACACACCGAAACTGCCGTTGCCTCTGTTCACTGCTGTCGTGTTCTGATCGTGGGCAAGGGTTGTTTTTTCTTTTCTCTGCCCTGTCGCCACTGCTGTCAAGACGCTTCTGTAAGAGAGTGCCTGGATTTGATTAAAACCAAGTGTCCCGAAGATGCTGCAGTTGTCAAGACCTTTATTGAGCAAGATAGAGTCTGTGCGTGTTTGTTTCCGTTTTCAAAAACATTTTTTATGTTTTTTGAGGACCAAAAATTGAAAATGGATTGAGAACTTCATTTGGCACATCATTCTATAAAAACTAAAAATGAAAACTTTTTCTGACCCTTTCCCAAAAATGCACAAATTATGAAAACGATTGAGGTTCGTTTTCATTTTCTTCGGTGTCAACTTCATCGCCTTTCCTTTTTGTCTCTGCAAGCCCGACTTCGCCGGCGATGGGAGATCCTCCGGTGCCGGTGAAATCCCTGGCGACCTTCCTTATACGACGCCATTCCGATCAACTCAGCTCCATCGCTCTCTCCCCGGAGCCCAAGCTCCATTACCCTCTCTTCGTCGAGTAAGCCCCGATTGCAAGAAATTCCTTCCCTCTTTTTCTCAATTTCAAGTTTTCTTCTGATTTATCTCTATCAATTCTCTCTCTATTTTCAGTTTTGCGGAGCTTCTGGAAGACGATCCTCCGCTCGCTCGTCTCGTCTTCTCTTAACCCACCGAGTACTTGCGGTTCTTCGACCAGGCCGCTGTTTGGGCTCACGTAAGTAACGCAGATTAATGAAATCGTGATTAATTATACGCAAAGATTCCAATTTAGTTTTTGCTTTACGAAGTAACATTTGATTTTGGTTTATTAAATCGTGGATTTGATGTGTTTGTAGAAAGTCATATTGGGGGATTTGAAAGGTTCTGACAAAGGGATTAAAAAGGAGTTCATTCATGTTGGGATCAATGTCTGTGGTTCTCCCCTTGAATGTGCTCGTAATTTGTGTTTGTTCGATTTTAGTCTGTCGTTTCTGTGTGTATTTGCTGTTGTTGAGCTTCTTCTTGTTGTTGACACATGTTTTCATGTATATTAATGTTTATTTAATATATTATTATTTAATATATTTAATATTATTATTTATTTAATATATTATTACATGTTTTTAAAAATTAACCACCAAACACAATTTCAGTTTTTTTTAAACTGAAAACAATCTCGGAATAAAACTACCAAAGGCATTTTCAGAAATGATTCCAAAATGAAAATGAAAACGTTTTCGTTTTCATTTTCATACAGGAAACAAAATCATTTTGGAACGAATTCCAAACGCAGCCTATGATTTTCTTGTTGGACTCAACCCGGAGTTTGACTTGGTGAGAATTCAGATTTCTTGGAAAGAAAGAGGTCCCATGTTTCAATGAGGTGGTGGCAATCATTCGGGGAGAAGAGAGTAGAAGAGAAATAATGCTTGAACCAAAGAACACTGATGGCTCGGCAATGTTGGCTAGTGGCGGTAGCAAACCAACCATGACTGCAGAAAAGGCACCGGCACTTGAGAATGTCAAGGCTGGTCAGCAGAAGACCCAAAACCGAGACTACAAAGATATGGTGCACTTATTGCAAGAAGGCACACCATACCCGTGAGAAGTGTTGGAAGCTGCATGGGAAACCACCAAGCCGTGAGTGGGGGCAGAAAGGAGAGCGGCCAAAAAGTCATGGACAAGCTCATGTTGCAGCAGGGCAGCAAAGTGAGGGAACACTGCAAGAGATGGGGAGTCTCAGCCAAGAGGAAATCGAACGAGTAAGATCCCTTATAGGCAATCTCGACAAACCGTCAGGTACCTGTTCATTGGCGTATTCAGGTGAGTCCTCATTTTCCATTGGATTAAATGTCTCAAATATAACCCTTACTGGCTCCTGGTTCATTGACTCCGGGGCTACCGACCATATGACCCACTCACCAAACATGTTTGCCTAATATACCCCATGTTCAAGCAGTAGAAAAATAACTACCGCAGATGGATCATTAACCACTGTAGCAGGCATAAGAGATGTTAAAATAAGCCCATCATTGACATTAAAAAATGTTCTCCATGTCCTCGATTGACCACAAACCTTGTTTCTGTCCAAAAGCTTACCAAAGATTCACATTGCAGAGTGTTTTTCACCATAGTTATTGTTTATTTCAAGACGAGGGTTCGGGGAGGACGATTGGACATGCTAGAGAACAAGATCGACTCTACCTTCTTGAAACACCTAGTCAATCAAGCATTACCAAGGGCACAACATCTCACTCTTTTGTCTCAGAAGTTCTCTCATCAAATAAAGAAAAAATTTGGCTTCACCACGACCGACTTGACCATCCATCGTTTAGGATTATTAAAATTCTGTTTCCTTCCTTATTTAGAGGTCTAGATATTGAACATTTTCATTGTGAAGTGTGTGAACTGGCTAAACACAAACGTGTACCTTTTCCAATCAGTAATAAAAGAAGCTCTATGTCTTTTTATCTCATATTTGGGGCCCTTCTACTATTCCTAATGTGACAGGGGCAAAATGGTTTCTCATTTATTGATGATTGTACTCGATTCACTTGGATATTTTTGCTTAAATAGAAATTCGATATCAGTAATGTCCTTCCAAATTTCTGCTCTATGGAAAAGATCCAATTTGGGGTCAATATCAAGAGATTCAAATCCGACAATGCTAAAGACTATTTCAATCAAGTCCTCACTCCATATTTCCAAAAGGAAGGAATCATCCATGAATCATCATGTGTCAATACTCCACAGCAAAATGGAGTGGCAGAAAGGAAAAATGGTCATCTTCTCGATTCCACCCGATCCTTTATGTTCCAGAAAAATGTGCCTAAATCCCTTTGGGGGGAAGCAGTTCTTACATCTGCACATCTTATAAATCATTTGCCTTCTAGGATTTTGGGTTTCAAAAGTCCAATGGACGTGCTTTCCTCATTTTATCCAAATCTACGCACTACGAATAATCTGGTTCCTAGGATATTCGGGTGTGTGGCATTTGTCCATATCCATACTCCAAACAAGGGAAAATTAGATCCAAGGGCAGTCAAATGTGTTTTTATGGGCTATTCTTCTACTCAGAAAGGATACAAATGTTACCATCCTCCCTCAAAAAGGTTCTATGTCTCGGTTGATGTTACTTTCCATGAAGACAAATCCTATTTCAATGATTCTTATCTTCAGGGGGAGAATTCAATAGTAGAAGATAAGGACAGGGGGGATTTTCTATTCCTCTCGGTGTTCTCAATCTCGCTACCTGAGTAATCTAATCTAAAAACGAAAACTTTATGCTTAGTTCTAAAATCCTAATCAAAGTGTTTATACCTCATATTAATACAAGACCACAAAATCAGCAAGCTACACATCCTTTCAAATTAAACACTATCAATGAAAGGGAACATTTATAGAAAGATAAAAAGTAATTCGGTATAAAGTATAACTTAGCCTTTAAATGAAAATGGCCAGTACCTCATTGCCTTTGTTCCCATAACTTATTGTAATTTCTTTGTCCATCTGGAAGGGACTTTGTCCAGCTTTCCAATCAAGAAAAAGAAAGAAAAAAAAATGCCATGGTAAGTCAAATATCCCATCAACTAAGCAAAAAGAGGAGAAAAAAATTAGTGATAGGAAATACTTGGCATTTCACACTACACAAGAGATTTGAAACAAAATACTTCACAAATCTTTTGAAGAAGAGCGTACCAGAAAGAAGATACATAGAGGAAGGAAGTTTAGTTATTGACCCAGTTCCATCCACTTCCCAAGTTGCGGTTGCCTTTAAATCTGAACAACAAGGTTTTCAGCCAGTACGTAAACCAACTACAAAAAAATTAACATCTAGGAAAGCATCTATTCATGCAAAGGGATTTTTTTTTCCCCCTTAAATAGAAATCTTTATTGATAGAGAATTTCAGTATGCAAGGAAAAAAGAGGAAGAGATTTCCTAGACAGAAACTCAACAAAACCGAAGCCTAGAATAAAAATAGGAGCCTCTAAGACCCAAACAAAAAGATTAAAGTGAGAAAGGTTATTACAAAAGATACTTGAACACCAAGTACAAGTTATCTTCAAAGAGACAAAATCTAGTATTGGGTATTGATCAAAAGGCATGAAATGAGGATTTGGTATCCAAAATATTGAAAACATTGTTAACCATACTTCACAGACCGGCATAACACTTTAATTTCATTCCAGCGTTAGAATAAAATAACACCATCGAAGGACCAAAATATGTTTTCTCAGGACCAAAGAACCATTCGAACTCCATCCATTTGCCAAGCTTCACATGTCTATCCCCAAAATTAGTTTTTGAGATATTAAAAACTATTGCTCAGGTGTTTAGTCCATAAGAAGAGTCATAAAACAAGGGGGAGAGAAATCAAGTATTATTACTACCACAAAAACAAGTGAACAAAAGAGAAGACTCCAGTAATATCATAATTCCTAGGAAGTGTGCGTTTATTTCACTATCAGAGGGAACGAGAAGAGAAGGATTGTTTACCTTTCCCATTTAATCATGTGTTTACTTGCAGATTAAGAATGAGAGTTTGATGGGCCCCACACCAATGAACGTGAGGAAAGGGAATGTCAACTCTTGCATTCCCCTTGGTATTGATTCCCGGTTAAAGGGAATTAATGTCAAATTACTTATATATCCTTGACAAGATCACCAGATATATACCAATGTTTATTTAATATTATAAAAGCACATCTTAGTAGTGAACGTTTAGTAGACATTAGAAAGGGAATTGGACAATTTTCCACTCCACTTTCTAATAAGTAAACATCAGAAAGGGAATCAACGGACCCCATTCTTCTTTTGTTAGGTACCTGGAATTCCACAGCCAAACAGCCCCAAACACACATACTCTAACCAGAGAATTGACTAGAAATTGGACGGAAATTAGAGAAACTTTTATTAATCACTTCAACACCAGCTCATACAAGCCAAAACCGGCAAGAGAAAATCGAAGAAAATGTAAAGGATAGATTGGAGTATTCGAGGACTCTGGAAAGCTCCTAATTCTAAACCCTGACAATGGTAATATTCAAGAGACCACCCGCTCTCCCAAAGTGTTTGTCAAAATCCCAAATGATAGCCCTTCTAACTCCTAATTCCTCCCTTTTTACTATTCCCCCTCTTACAAGCACTACTAACACATTACTAACTATACTCTAACAACCTACTAATCAAACTAACTTCGCCAAATTATTAAAGGATCCTAACATTATCCCCGCCCCAAGACCCACCCCTAATCTCGCCGGAATCAGCCTAAGCCACACCAGGATCGAGGAACCCAGTCCAAGACCTGCTGAAATTGGCTCTAATCTTGTTGAAAGTAAGGCCAAACCAAATACCACCGGAGTCAGTCTCAATCGCATCAATATCGCAAATCCCAGACTTAGGGCCACCATAATTTCGGGACCCAGCCCTAACCTTGCTGGGATCTGCCCTAGCCATGATGGAATTGCGAGACTTAACCCTCACCACGCCGGAAACAACCCAAATCACGCTGGAATCAGGCCCAATTGCGTCAGAATCTCGACAATCGATCCAAGCTCGGCCGGAGTCAGCCTCGAACGAGCCAAAATCGTGAAGCCCAACACCATCGACATACGATTCCATCACGAATTTGCTGCCGTTAGCCTCGGATCTGGCCGATTTAGCACCAGATCGCGAAACTCGTAGCTTGCCCAGATCTGCTCGCAATTCACCCAAGTCTGCAACAGATCTTGCAAAATCGCACATCCCCACACCGTCAGCGTGCGATTCCAATGCGAACCCATGTCGTTTGTCTCAGATCTAGCCGATCTAGTGCGAAATCACAGAAAAGCACTCAAGACTTCTTCGACCTCGCTCGATTCCGATTCTGGTCGCCACACCTCCACCTCGCTCGCCGGCGTCGTCCTTCCGTCGACGATCGTGTTTCCTCCAACAACAGATCAGTAGGATCTGAATCCCTACTATTACTCCTAAAAGCATATGGAGAAGCCCATAATTCTTCTCTTAGTTCAAACTCTTGGGTTCGCCATTATGAGTCCTATCGCTACAAACTCTGAATGCCTCTATAAGGTCGTCGTCTATCGAACACTTGCTGATAACCAGAAGTAGATAATGTGGACCGATTCTCTGATACCAAAATGTTAGGTACCTGGAATTCCATAGCCAAACAGCCCCAAACACACACTCTAACCAGAAAATTGACTAGAAATTGTAAGGAAATTAGAGAAACTTTTATTAATCATTTCAACATCAGCTTATACAAGCCAAAACCAACAAGAGAAAATCGAAGAAAATGTAAGGGATAGATTGGAGTATTCGAGGACTCGGGAGAACTCCTAATTCTAAACCCTAACAATGGTGGTATTCTGATAGGAACCCAGGAACTTCTGGGCAGTATTCTTTATTACTGAATGGAAATTGGAACAAACAAAATACAAAAATACTATAGGTGGAATTCGAGGTTCCTCTGCCTCCACAGACTCAAGACTCAATTCTCTCAAAAACTACCTCCCTCTACTCTACGAGTCTTCTTATATAACCCGTTCCCCCTGGCGGACTTCCCCAAGCAAAACTAACTCCTAACAGAAACCATGACCCATCTGAATCCCAATGGGCGTGCCATGTCAGCCAATTCCCAACTTATGCCGCCCTCCCTTGAGGGATAGATATTTCCCTTTTTGTTCCTCCTGGAGTAGACGAATTTGACGGGAGGGACATGGGCTCTAACATCTCTCCCCCCTTCGAGAACAACCTTGTCCCCAAGGTTGAAAGCTGGAAATTGGGTCTGAATAGCGAAGATAGGCTCCCATGTAGCATCCCAAGTCGGCAGACCCTCCCATTGAACTAACACCTCAGGCAACTCTTTGCCCCCCACGGAGCGAACCCGGGAATCCAGCATTGCCGATGGAGAAACCTCTAATTCCAACTCGTCCGAAAGGTTTGGAGGCAAGGGTTGGCCCGACCCTGCAAGATCTCTATATGGCTTCAGCTGCGACACGTGAAAAACAGGGTGTATTTTTGCTGTGGAGGGGGGCTTAAGGCGGTAGGCGACGGGATTAACCCTGTCGATGACTTCAAACAGTCCATAAAAACGCGGACTGAGTTTTTCATTAACTCGGCGGGCTAACGATTTCATGAAGTTAAGGCGTAGCTTCAACAACACTAATTCACCAACCTCAAAGGTCACGTCCCGGCGGTGACGATCTGCATACTTCTTCATCTACTGCTGTGCCCTCACCAGGTGTTCCTTTAGAAGGGCCAGTGTTTGGTTCCGAATCCGCAGTTGCTTTTCGACCCCGTGTACTACCGCGGAACCCCCTTCGTAGTGGTGTAAGGTAGGTGGCTGTCTGCCGTACACGATGAAGAACGGAGTATGTTTTGTGGAAGCACTATAATTGGTATTGAACCAATATTCTGCCCAAGGCAGGAACGTCTGCCACTGTCGGGGCTTGTCATTAGCATAGCATCGTACGTGCATTTCAAGGCAGAAATTGGTTACCTCCGTTTGACCATCGGACTGTGGATGGTAGGCGGAACTGGTATGCAACTTGGTGCCCTGGAGCTTGAAGATTTCCTTCCAAAAGAGACTCATAAACAGCGGGTCACGGTCGCTAACAATGGACTGGGGCACCCCATGTAAGTGAATGATCTCCTTGACGAAAAGCTCGGCAACGGACTTGGTAGTGAACGGGTGAGCAAGGGGGCAGAAATGGGCGTATTTGGACAGGCGGTCAACAACTACCAGGATGGTGTCAAACCCCTTGGACTTGGGCAGACCACAAATAAAGTCCATAGAGATGTCTTCCCAGATGCGTTGCGGCACCGGCAGTGGTGTTAGTAATCCCGCCGGTGAGAGAGCATCGGTCTTGCATTGTTGACAAGTGGCACAGCGACCCACATATTCCCGAATCACCCGTTTCATGCCCTTCTAAAACACTATTGCTGCCAAGCGCTTGTAGGTGCGAAGGAAGCCGGAGTGGCCCCCAATGACAGCATCATGGAACTCGTAAAGGAGTTTCATCACCCACGAAGATGAGGCAGGGATAACTAACCTCGACTTAAAGAAAAGATGAGGCAGGGATAACTAACCCACGAAGATGAGGCAGGGATAACTAACCTCGAAAAGTTTGGTCATCAACCGAAGCTGATCGGGCGCCAAAACTCGTTGGTCCAAGAGGTGGTGGAGGCTTTGCTGGTCTGTTCGAATGATGAAGTGACGGCTGAGAAGGTAGTGCCTCCACTTTTGGACTGCGAGAACAATGGCCAGCAGTTCTCGCTCGTACACTGACTTCCAACGAGCAGAGGAGGAGAGACCCTTGCTAAAATAGGTGATGGGCCGACCCTCTTGCATGAGCACTGCCCCCACCCCCACTACCGGAAGCATCAGTTTCCACTACAAACATCTTCCCGAAGTCTGGCAAGGCTAAGTCAGGAAGGGCTGACATCAGTTGCTTTAATTTCTGAAACGCTTCCTCAGCCGGGGAAGTCCACTGATATGCTCCTTTCTTGAGTAAATCAGTCAAAGGGCGTGTGAGTACACCATATCCCTCCACAAAGCGGCGGTAATAACCGGTCAAGCCGAGAAAACCGCAGAGGTCCCTTACTGATCGCGGACTGGGCCAGGAGGTGATGGCTTGCACCTTCGAGGGGTCAGCAGACACCCTATCCTTAGAGATTATGTGGCCGAGGTAATCCACCTGGTCTCGGCCAATCGTACATTTCTTGGGGTTGGCATATAGCCGTTCACGGTGCAGCACCTGTAAAACCAACTCCTGATGTCGGACATGCTCCGTCCGAGTGCGGCTGTAAACCAAGATATCGTCAAAAAAAACTAACACAAATTTACGCAGGAAGGGGTGGAATATCGTATTCATTAAGGATTGGAACGTGGCGGGGGAGTTGGTGAGCCCGAAAGGCATGACGAGAAACTCGTAATGCCCTTCGTGGGTTCGAAATGCTGTTTTCTCCACATCCTGCTCCCGAACTCGAATTTGATGATAACCCGAGCAGAGGTCAAGCTTGTAAAAAACGCTGTCCCCGTGAAGCTCATCCAGCAACTCGTCGATGATAGGGATGGGAAATTTATCAGGAATTGTCAGCTGGTTTAACGCCCTGTAGTCCATGCAAAACTGCCAGCTTCCGTCCTTCTTGACCAACAAAACAGGGCTCGAGAACGGGCTGGTGCTCAGACGGATGATTCCCGAAGCTAACATCTCTCCAACCAACCGTTCTATCTCCTCTTTCTTGATGTGGGGGTATCTATAAGGCCGTATATTAGGAGGAGAAACCCCTTCCCGCAACACAATATGATGGTCATGAGCGCGTCGAAAGGGTAACCCCTCTGGTAAGTCAAACACCAAATTGAACTGGTCCAGGAGACCGGCCAAGTCATGGGGTACCTTCCTGGCCGAGGGCCCTTGTACCTCATCTGTTACCACCCCTATCTCGAGTAATACCCCAAATTGCTCACAAAGCAGGGAACGAGCAATAGAGCGAACACTGACCTCAGCACAGCATAACGCGGGGTCTCCCTGGAGGCATACCCATTGGTTTCCCGCCAAGTACTTCAGCGTGAATTGGGTTCAATCCGCCCAAACCTCCCCAAGAGTACTCAACCACGTGACCCCAAGCACCAGATCCACATTTCCCAAATCAAATGGAAAGAAGTCTTCAATCACTCGTTGTCCCTGAATCAGGACCAGCACCGAACGGCAAACCCCCTCCTGTTGAAAAATCATTCCATTTCCTACCTGAATCTTGTGTCGGATAGTGAGATCTCAGGGCAAATCCAGATCCTTCACCAGAGTGGACGAGATAAAACTGTGGGACGCGCCATTGTCGACAAGAATTTCTCGTCCATTAATCGACCCCTTAACCTTCAGCGTTTTCGCCGAGGAACACCCATTGAAGGAGTTGAGCGACAGAGCGGCTATTTCAGCCTCCGCTGAACACATCGGAACATGCACCTCCTCTCCCTTAGGCGGCTCGTCCGAGCACTCGTCCTCTGAGTCATCATCCGTGAGCATCAGTACCTGCAGCAACCGACTCTTACAGCGATGCCCTGGACCATATTTATCGTCACACCTAAAGCAGAGGCTGCAGGCCTTCCGTTGCTGCACCTCGTCGAAAGTCAGCCGGCGGAATCCGGTGTCGCCGCTAGAACAGGGCTGGGGTTTCGAAGTTGCCGCCGCGAGCCCTTTCTAGTGGGAGTTGAGATCGCGACCTAATTGGGATTGAAGGGAGCTATCTCGAGAATCTAGGACATTAGTCGGTATAAGTGGACTTGTTCCGGGTCGCCCCGAATACTCTGGCTTGGAAAACCACCCCGCCCGACTCTTCCGTACCCGATCCGCTGCCTCCAACCAGTCTTCTACCTGTTGGGCCAAATCCAAGGTCTCAAGCAAGTTCATAGGCCGATGCATTTTAACCTCAGCCTGTATGTCTTCTCGGAGCCCATTTAGGAAGGCCCTTTTGAATATGGGTTCTAGCACCCCTCTCAAGGAAGCAGCCAGTGCCTCAAAGGAGTCCCGATACTCTGCCACACCACCGGTCTGCCTGAGCGCCATCAAATGTTCCATCGGATCACCTTCACGTGCGCGGCTGAAATGTTGAATGATGGCCGACCTAAGTTCTCTCTAGCTGGTGAAAGGCTCCTATGTGTCAGTCCACTGGAACCATCCTAGAGCTCGTCCTTCCGTACAAATCGAAGCTGCTAAGATCCTCTCCTCGTCGTCGATGTCGTTCACGGCGAAATAGCGCTCGGCTCTAAACACCCAACCGTACGGGTCCTCCCCCTGGAAGAGC